GCAGAGTCCTGGGTCTACACGACACCGTGGTGCTCACAGCCACTGCTTCCTGTGATTAGAGGCTCTGTTTCCACACCTTCAGAATTCATCAAGAAGAGAGGTGGGATTAAAGTTGTAGCTTCCAGACTTTGGAGGTGCTTTCCAACCACAGAGGGAGGTTCTCAATTCTCCAGAAATCCTGTTCTCTATCTGCCCACGGTGTCGGCAGGAATAATCACACTTGGTGCTCCAGCCGAGCTGCAGCTCGCTGCCGGGTCCTGTCAGATGTGGAGAGTCACAGTGAGCTTCTCGCTGCATGTCCACTGTCTGCTTTCAAGCTGGCATCAGTCTGCACAGAGGGATGCAGAAACCATGAAGTGGTCTTTAGGAACCAGCCTACCACCCAGTCAGGGTTTGTATCTGTTGAGTTTAACCGAACCTGCATGTGTTGTCATGGGTCTGAGTCTGATTTAGCATATGCTAGCATGAATAGCTGTCCGTCTCTATGAGCCGTGGCTGACTGACTTTAGGAGGTGCATCACCACCATCATGACTGCATGTCAGATATATGATGCTGCAACGTATCCACAAGTAGAAATAAAATAAATATCTGGATTAGGTTGTAGAGTCAGGAAACAGGGCGTTGGCAACCAACCCAACGCTTGATTCTGCACACAAACAGTCAGAGGACAACTTTCATTCCCTCTGAGAGAAACATGCACAAGCCTGTGCTCCTGAGACCGCTTCCTCTCACGTCGTCTTCGTTTAGCGGCTCAACCCGGCGCCCTTTCTGTTCCCACAGCTCGTTGTCATCACAGTTCCAATCCCATTTCATCCGATGGTTTCTGGGTCCAGCCCGCCTTTCCATGTAGAAGCTTCGCTGAAACCTTTCAGTGTGCAGAAAGAACAGCTCAGATTTTGCAAACTGTTGCCAAGAAGCCTTTCGGTGCTCCCGCGGGGAACTTGGGCACATGAACAGACGGCTGCCCGCCCCGCACCGTGAGCCCATACTATACCGCCGTGGCCCGTGACCACGTGCAAACTCGGACACTGAACCCTGTGCCACCAACACCTGCTGCGGGTTACATAGGAGCTGCAGGCTGGCTTAACCTGCATGTACAGACCTTTAGTGTACAGCTCCAGGGGAGAGTGCACGCTGACAGCATTAGTGCTGTACCCGTTGAACTACACAAAGGCTGCAGACATCAATAAATCAGAATGTACAGTCCTGTTCCTGCATCCCTCCGGACAGCTCTCAGACATTTTATCCATAGCAATTATGTCATGTAAGTCAGCCAGTTTCTTTTCTCTAAAAAAGCTCTTTTCATTCCCAACCGTAGACACAGACACTGGACACCCGTACTGTTGTCCCCAAAGGCACGTTAACCCCACAGCTCCATCTCTTCTGTGCGTCTGCTTGTCATTTTTCTCTCTCTGTGTGCTCATAAATGCTCCTTCCTCACACTGTGGACGCTGGGTCTCCCACTCCTGCCTTTAGCCGACCATTAGTGGAGACGAGGGTGTGGGGATTGGACGACAGGGGCCCATCCTGAGTGGCCGGTGATGGGACGGTTATTTTCATAAGTCAGACACATAGCCCATAATGTCAGGTCTGGTCCTTGGGAGTACTTACCTCCGCCGTTGGTGTGTGTGTGAGTGTGTGTGATCACAATGCCACATTTAAGCACAGCGGCTACTGTTGTTTGGCCTTGTAAATGGATCCTTGGGCAGTCATTCCCACAGCATGGGGCTTTCCACTCACACATCCACAGAGGCTCAGCATGGCTGGGTGGAAGGGCATCTGCGCACTGTTCTCATTAAAAGCCCATGCTGCCAAAAGCAGGTGTCCTCACACACAAATAAGCTTCTAACAGAGAAAGAGGAGAGTTTACAGCAGACAGACCTTCAATATTACGCACACATCTGAACATTACCGCCATTATTCTTCTTCTCTGTCGTCTTTTCTCTCTCTGGCTCACAGTTCACGCGTCCTCCAGAGCTGCTGTCGTTGACTGTTCTCGCTCATTTCCACCTAATGTGTCTCTCCATCATTTCACTTTATTTTTTGGTTCAGTTTAATAAAACACACACCAACACAGCAGCTCAGCTGTCGTTCTAATAGCGCGTCCTCTCCTTGATCCATCATCATGGCAACCCATTTAAATGTTAAACGACCAGCACGAGCAGATTCGTCTGTGCAAACGGCTTTTTCTGTAACCGGATGGATCTGATAGCGCTGATGTTGTAAATAGTCAAACGTAGCTTTTTCTAGCCGCAGACGGACGTTCGACACAGATCCAGCAGCTATCAGCGCACACAGGCTGAAATAAAACATGTTCTGTGAAAGTGGAGCGCGTCCTGTAAGGAAACAGAGGCTGGTTTAATTCTGTTTAGTTTTTCTCCTGCTTATAGAAGCAGGATCAGGATCTATCTGCTCGCTAATAGAAACCAGCAGAAAAGTCAGGTTTGACTCCAAATGATGATTTTAAAAAAATAAAACGTGCTCACGGGCCGTTTGTTTATCCAGTGAATTATCGAAGCTCTGAGGCTTATTCGTTGTTTTCAAGGGAAATTGAATTCATCACCCAGAAAAACAACTTTACATACATTTGCATATTTTTGTCAGATTCCATAAAACATCTCTGAGCCCGGTGGGTGGTCCTGACCCCGAGCTCAGAACTGCTGGTTCAAACTTTTCTCCAGTATAACAATACCCGTCCTCTGCTCTAAATTCATTCTGGCGTTGGTTCTGTCCTGTGCTGAGTGTAAGAAAAAGAACTCATAAATAACAAAGGAAGGAAGTTGAATCAGATAAATAAAAAAATGTAGTCGTGGCAGAAACGCTGAGAAGTTGCCAAATCATGAAGATTACTTTGGACAGAAGTTTAGAGACTAATAAATTCTCAATGTAATTATGCACAGAAAGTAGCTAACATTTCTCTTCTGGGTGTTTTGAAGTTCTTTCCAAGGTCGGAGAGCTTCCTATCAGGTCTGGACAGTCAGTCTGATGGGGGAGTTTTCCAGCAGGGAAAACAGTTTTCTGCAGAGTAGAGGACTTTGTGTCGGCTTAACGCTGTTAAACCTACAATCCCCACAGACAAACAGTGTCTAAACCTGACACTGCTGACCCACGCAAACACACACACACACACACACACACTCAGACTAAATCCTACATGTACACACACACATACGTGGACTTTCTACCATAAATATGTGCAGTTATTCATAAACGAGCAGACACAAAGGAATGACTGATGCAGACGTGCAAATACTGAACTTTTGATGCTGAAACAAAACCGGTTTGATTCGTTGGGGAACACGTCTGTATGCTGTGATCATAATGAGGTTGAAACATTCATGAAATCAGAGGAAACAGCAGTTTGATCAGTGGTTCTGTCACAGTGTTGGCTGGTGCCAGGCTGTTGTGGGGAACCTGAGTGGTTGTAGGTTTATGGGCGTACATTTAGCAGAGTGTCCGGGGATCCTGAGCATCAAATGATGATGTCCTGTATGTTTGTGGGTTTTTAATGCACCAATCTGTGCCTTTTCTGAACCGATTTATGGTGGAAATGTAACTAAAATCCAGCAGGTATCAGTGTACAGCACCCTGTGGCTGTGTGGCCTGTTGACAGCCAGATGCTACAACAGGCCTGTAGGAGTCTTCTGTTTACACGTCTGAATATGAACGGGGACGCATCGCCTACATCCCAGTGGAGTGTACGCCTGTGATCGGTTTGGCCTTCACTGGAGATCAGCCATGTTCTGCTGCATGTTCTGCTGCAGTCTTCACAGAAGTCCCGGACCAGGAGGAAGCCGTCCATGTAGTTTGTGTTTGTGTTGCGTTACGTGGCTGACGTTGTCCCGCTAGTCCGCGGTCATCATAAACCAGCGTGAGCAGCAGGTTCCTTTGCAGCCCTCCTGGCAGCAACATGGAGCTCCTCAAAGCCAGGATGAGGACAGAAACTGTACAAACACAAACAGCTGATCATTAGCAGGAAACCCACGTCCATGTAAACACAGTCCCTGTCCCTGCAATGCTTGAACACGACATGAATAAATCATGTCCCCGTGTTTAATATTTTAAGGTTTGATAGTTAATATTTGTGTGTTTGTCTCCATTTTGCCCAGATGTAATTTTAATGGTGTTTTTTTCTCCTCTGATGACTCACTGGAGCTGTGAACTGTAAATCATTAACAAAGGTGCTTCTGTTGCTTCAGTTAGCGCTCATGCCAAGTGGATTTTTAGTTTTTTTACTTTTTCTGATGAGCTGAAGTTTTTTTCTTGCACTAACAGTAACACTGGATAATTCTCCAGAAATGTGGGCTGACCTGTTGTTTTGCCGGTTTCACAAACAAGCCTTGGTCTGAGTTTGGATGGAGAACCTTCTTCACCCGTCAGTCCGTCTCAGATGATGTGGACAGCAGAACCCATGTCGCGCTCCCTCTGAGCCATCAAACACGCCTTCATCTGGACGCATCCACATGTTTGTTGTGTTTACAGCTTTTCCCTCTAACTCCGTCTCAGACTGAGTCATTAGCGCCATACCTCTGTCTTGATAATGTGCTGTTTTCAACCATCTCTCTGGGTTTTGTGACAGTCATTTGTGTCCATGCAGCCGGTCTCTGGTTCTTTCTCTTCCTCTGTTCCCTGCTGCTCGCCCTGCTTTTGTCTCTCCTGCTCTCTGTGTTTGCCGTATTCTCCAATTACCTCTTGAAAATGCACAGGTCATTTTATTGATATTGCAGAGCTGAGAGAGGAAAAAAAGATGGGTGTATAAAAGCAGACGCTCCAAATGGCTTTCTTTCTCTTTCTCTGTTTTTTTAGACTCTAACCACAGTGTTTCAGTCATACAGAAATTTAGCTGAAAAGCACCTCGTGATGGTTTCTCTCAAATGGAAAAGCTTTTAGTTTAGCTTCTGGAGACTATTCAGGCCCAATGAGCTAACCTTTGCCTCCTCTTTTTCCACTTCTCTGTCTTTGTCGTCCTCTGCCTCCATTACTGTCTCTCCCTCCCCAGAAGGACGAAGTGTCCCGGACGCCGGGTGGCGCTGTTTCAGAGAAGAGCGGGAAGGAGCAGCTCATGTTTGAGGTGCCGCTCAATGACACCGGCTCGGCGGGCCTGGGCGTCAGCCTCAAAGGGAACAAGTCCAGAGAGACAGGAGAGGATCTGGGGATCTTCATCAAGTCCATCATTCACGGAGGGGCTGCATACAAGGTGACAGAGGACTCAAATAAAGCATTTCATTAGCGTACGCCTCCTCCAAGACTGAAGTTACTGATGTGACCACACGCTAGAGTCTCCCAGAACATTGAAATATGAAATAATAACTTGAATCAGAACAGATGCTTGTACACCAGAGCCTCCTGTGAAGGCCTTCAGCTCTGCAGCTCCTCCTCTGCTCACCTCTGGCCTCTCATTCACCAGGACACACTAGTCAAAGGCAGCAGGTGCTCACACAGCGGCTGCAGCTGCTGGTGTCTGAGCTCACACTTGACAGAAATATATGGAGGAGGCTCTGCTGTAGAGACGTTGTTATTACCCACCCAGGGAAGAGGGGCAGACGGGCGGATGGAGGTCTGTGTTAGTGTGGTGGAGGACGAGTTCAGTCGGGGAGGCATGGCGATGTGTGTGTGTGTGTCAGTATAGTTTTTGGTATGTTGGATTTCTTTCTTCCTGATTGGACTTCAGAGACTCTCGGTGAAAGCCACGGGCGTGTCCGTGGGTGTGTGTTTATCCAGCAGCGCTCGGTTAGCTCAGTTATTCTCCCATTGTTAAAAAGAGACAACATCAGAACACACTGACAGCTCAGTGTTCACAACATCACACGTTATCAAACAAGCTCACGAGGTTTTTCACTTAACCTCAGTAATCTATCTATAGGTATCAGTATAGGTGTGTGTGTGGCCATGTACAGGTGATCTGTGTATAGGTGTTATGTATAGGTGTGTGTGTGGCCATGTACAGGTAATCTGTGTATAGACCTGGACAACAGACACAGGTTGTACCCACAGTCCAACACTCGCCATGTACACAGTTCTAATGAAGCTGGTGTGTGTTTTACAGGACGGCCGTCTGCACATCAACGACCAGCTGGTGGCCGTAAACGGAGAGTCGCTGCTGGGACGCTCCAACCACGCTGCCATGGAGACGCTCCGGCGCTCCATGTCACAGGAGGGAAACGCAAGAGGGACGATCCAGCTGGTGGTGCTGAGGGTTCTGAAGGTACGGTTTAATGTTGTCGTCTTCTGTGATAACGAGTGGGTATTAGAGCAGCATTAATTAATCTGATCGATCAAGAGATGAATGATTGTCATCAACTTTGACAGTCAATAAATCTTTCAGTTTCATTTTGAAGTAATTGCCGTGGAGACCTTCTGGTGTCCTTGGTTTTCTATGGTGGTTCATTGGACTGTTGATGGGACACGTGAAGACGTCCTCTTGGCCTCTGGGAACTTTCAGCGTGAGGTACGATCAGGTCATTGGGAGCTGGCTGTAGAAAGCAGAAATCACACCTGCTCTGAGTCTGATCCCGTCTGAAGTCGTCTCCTTGTGGGGCGATGCAGAAGGTCCGGTGCTCCTGGCATGTTTGGAAGTCTGCTTGGAAAGTTGCATCTCACAGTGTCTGACGTGTGCATCGGATTCTTGTGCTGGTGCAGCTGATGAACTTTGTGTTTTCAATGTGCTGAGTGGCCACGTGTTGTCACGGCGGCTCCACGGTTCACCGTGTTTGGGGCGAGTTCACCGGGTCACTCACCTCAGCCACTATAACAGAACCCGGTGCTGACAGTCTGAACATCAGTTCAGTACCGCCTAAGCATGCACGACCCTGAATGTGAAGTAAATGGGCGGACATGTGACGTGATGCAGCCTCTGGTCCTCTGACTCACCTCTCATCATCCTTGACATGGGCTTTGGTCAGGTGATGGATGATTGGGGTCTATGTGGAGGGAAGGCGCACTGACGCATACGGAGGCTAATATGAAGGGGAGAGCGATGAAAACTTTATCGCTTCTTATTTATTAGTACAGTCTCTTAGTTGCTTGAACTTACATCCCAAACATTCAATCGGATAAAGGAATCATTTGGGTGATGCAGGGAGACGGCTGCTGTGAAGCCTCATGCTGCTGAGACACACCGGTGAAGCTCAAACTGCAGTACGTCTGTTCAGGATTTACTGAAAGCCTCACCTCATCATCTCAGAGTCAAAACCCAAAACCACACGTTGCTTTTCCATCTCTCTGTATCTGTGTCTCTCAGCGTTTCGGCCGGTTTCTTGTCCTGCTCTGTTGCCTCGGCCTCTCTTCACGACTTTCCAGCCCTCCGTCCATTCTCTGCATTCTTGACACTAGTCTGCCTGCTCTCTTCTCAGCTCTTACCGGCAGCAGCAAAAAGAGCATTTGCACTTCAGCTATTCAGATTTCTGTGTGTGTGTGTGTGTGTGTGTGTGTGTGTGTGACTGAGGGTTCTTCACTCGGCTGTATATCTTTTCTTTCTAAGTAAAAAATAAAAGCAGATGCTTTTCATCTGCTCTCTTTTCAGCAGCTCTGCAGTCTTGTCTGTACGAACCGTTGGACGCTCAAAGCCGGGTTGTTGGCTCAAGTGTCCGTGGGCCTCTGCAGTGACCTGCTGGTCGTTTTAAATACAGCCGGCGTGATGTGTTCACACAGCAAACAGAGAACAGAGAGAAGAGACGTTACAGCGTTAAAGTGTGTGTATTCTGATGACTGACATGGTAGAAAGATCTTAGACTGAATATTTAAATCACCATAAAGTACTGAAACTAGTCAACAAATCAAACTTAGACCCTGACCGTGGCTTTACCTCAGCAGCGTCTTCATGGTAGCTGAGCGCTATAATCTGGCTGAAGGTGGGATCCATGGCGTCAGACTGCGGCTCTAAGTCGGCGTGTTATCGTATTGATGCGTGCCGTGGTGAGCTGGGCCTGCAGGGCTCAGGGCGTCCCCGTCAATAGCTGGATGTGAACGCTGTTAGCATCATCAAAGGCTCGCGTCCACGTTTCCCTCTTTGTCTTAAGAGCAGCAAAAGGAAAGAGAGAAAGATAAAGGCAGATAGATAAGAGAGTGTACCTTAAAAGCTTTCTGGGCTTTGGTTCTGTTCAACATTACAGAAGTGGCCGCTCTGCTTTCCCCCTCTCATCCCCTTTCTGTATTTCTGGTGTATATCCTCACTTCAGACTGTATTCATCTTGTGCCAGCCTCTCTAATCTCTCACTTTATCCAGCTGCTGCTTTCATTCAGGAACTATCCACACGCCCTCCATCTAAAAGCTTCATAAACAGGACTCTGGCGGTAATCTGATGGTGTTCCTGCTGAACCCTGGCAGAGCACAACATCTACAGTATTGCATATTATTGACACGAATCCAACAGGACAATGTATTTGTTCTGAGGCAAACAGAGAGCTGTGACCATAACAATTAGGAAAACCAGGGAGTTTCAGACCACTGATTACCACGTGGTGGAGTTTGTGCTCCTCCAGTGTTGCTTTAAGAAGGTTTCTCCACATGCATGGCTTCATTCCTCCAGTGTTCCTGGTTGGCATTGACTAGTTTTACAGCGTGTGCTGGAGAAAGAGGTCCACAGTCTACAAGGTGCACGTCATTTTCAGGCAGAAAGGGATTATTTTACCTGAACAAACCTTCTAAATGTGCAATATTGACTCATGTCGGGTTTTATTCAGACCAGGGAGGAACTTTAACATGTTTTTAATAAAAACCTCCTTCTATAGCAGTAACTGATCACTTCTGTACAGACGCTCTGACAAGAACCACAAACTGTTCTCAGGTTCAGCAAGAAGCTTCCAGACCTGGTGAACACTGTACTGACTCGTGGCAGGGCTTGTGGTGGGCGATGTATGCTGCTCCTAAAGCAAAACAGCTGCTTCAAGATGCTTCATGATGGTTTAATGTGTGAGTGGGACAACTTAGCTTATTGTGTGTCCGACGTGTAGCTGGAGCTCATCTCCAGCCCTGTCCAGAAGGACCTCTGAGTTCAAGAAACACGTTCAGGGTGATGCAGTTTATCCAAAACCAGTGGTTCATACCTCAACCAGTTCCTTTAGGTGTCTGGAAGAGCATTTATCTTGAGTGAGAAATGGGATTGCAACAGGACGTGGGCTAATCTGGGCTAATCTGGGGTGATCTGTGACACGCTGAGGAGTGATGCATCCTGAGCTGGACCTGGGCTGGAACTGGGCTGGAACTGGGCTGGAACTGGGCTGGACCTGGGCTGGACCTGGGCTGGACCTGGGCTGGACCTGGGCTGGACCTGGGGAGAGACTGGGCCAGAAGCAGGAGCTGGTGCAGGTCAAGAGCAGGACAACAAGGAGGATTTATTACACACATAAACTCCTGTCATGTCTCCTCTGGTGTCTAAGTGGAGGGATTATCCACCACGGAGAGCCAAACACACAGAGAAACACCAAAGTGCACCGAATCACAGCCACAGTACATACATATGCATGCATGTTAATGAAGATGTACAGTTTTCAACACACAAATGACAAATAAATGCAAATTAAATTCCCAAAGAAATAATACATGCACAAAGAAGACACATCAGCTCTGTAATCAGGCCTTTGTTTGGCTGTAGCGGGCCCTGAGAGGGCTCTCTGGAGGGGATGAGTGTCGGTGTGACTGCTGAAGGCAGCGCTGAGGCTGCTTTGAACCCTGAGGGGCATGGGAAATGGAGGCCCCGCTTTCACCTTGATCCTCCACTGTCTGCTGAGTGTCCACCTCTTATTCGCTCTCCTTGACATCTAAATGTGTCTGAATAGACAACCAAAGAGCCCTCACATCAGTTCTTCTGAATGCAGTCCACGTACCGGCCCTGATGTAGGAATAAAGAAATAATGAGAGCAGAAACAGCAACATGCAAACCTGCCACTGTGCAGTGCTGTGCTTGTTTTTGTGGAGTTTTATTGGTATTGTATTGAATCCTGTTTGTTTCAGACATCATTCCAAGTTCTTTTCAGACTTCCTTTCATAGTTCCTGCCTGCTTTATAATCGGGGGACCTGTGGTCAGCCTCCCTGTGAGTTATCGCCTGTCTGGGATCTGAAAGTGTTGACTAACGTTAGTTTCCATCCCGTTGTAGGATCAGCATGGGGTGTCACCCAACCGCTCCTTTGACAGCTCCTCTGGACCGCTGAGCCCAGTGAACGGTCAGACGGGACTGCTCGGTCCGGCCACCGACTCCATCCAGCCCCCCATGGTGGCCAACGCCATGTATGCATCTAACGGTGGGTCGACAGGCGCACACACATGGAGCGTGGTTTTTATTCTTTGTCTTTGTTTTGTCTCCTGGGATGTTTTCCATTCTGTGTCTGTGTTGCTCTGTTTCTACCAAAGCTATCAGAAACCCTTTCACACAATACCAGTGATGTAAATGTTTTTTTAACGTTTCTGACAATAACTTTCTGTTAAGCACCAAAACCTCACAGCAAACATCTATTCGTATCCTTCGCTGTGTGTTCCTGATTTGAAGCAGGGGGTCAGAAAATGCTTGGACTTGTAGTTAAACTCACACATTGTGAAATCTTCAGTATTTTCTTGAACATGTGTATTTTTTAGCTAATTAACCAGCTGGTCCTGGTCCTGGGACCAGGACTCAGCTGGTTTGTATTTGTGCCTGTTAACAACACAGGCTGCTGTAAGGCTGTTGTCTAGCAACAGGACGTGTGTTTGTTGCGTCTTACACGTGACAATATGGTCATTTATGGGTCAATATGTTCCTTCACATCCCAAAGCAAAAGGAATCTGTGAACCTGTGATCATTTGTTTCATCAGCGAAGCAGCGCTGATGGCTTAAAAGAATGATTATGAATGCTGTGCTCCAGGTGGGACGATCAAGTGTCATCAAAATACGGATGTAACCATTGCAGTAAGCTAGCTAGCTTGTTGACACCCAAAGACCGTGTTCTGGTTCTGATATCAAAACAACAACAACAAGTACAGGGCTGCTCAAACTCTGGATGTGAATGAAGATCCATCCATCCATGATCTATACACCGCTGAGCCCTCAGTAGGGTCGCAGGGTGTGAATGAAGATGAAAGACTAGATATACATACGATCCAGACTGTGAAAGGGTGATGGAGTGATGCTGGTTAGCATAGTGCTCAGCTACACAAGGCTGTCATATAAACACATAGACTGAATTAGAAAGATGGACGTAGTCTGCTGGATTAACTAAGGAAAGCCAAAGCACAAGTGCTCTAAACCCGCTTTCTTTCTAATGGCCAGCAGGTGGCGATGCATCAGGAAAAAATAAGTCACATTTAATAGAAATGTATTCTACTTGTCACTTGACTTTTAGCTCCTTCAGTACGACATGCTGGTCATTTTTAAACCGTCTCTGGAGTCGACACCAAACAGGAAGGGCAGCGCTCAGTTCTTATGCACCACATATCCCAGAAAGCCTCAGGGCTGCTGCAGCGATCAGTTCTGTTACATCCAGACTAAAGACTGTTGTGTCGGCTTCCACTGAACCAGATCTGAGACCTCTGAATGTCTTAAACTCCACAACAGCACTCCGTGAACCACAGAGTGAGGCTACAGCTTCCTTCATCTTTATTTACTGTCCATGTTGAAACGCAGCACCGTCCTCTGCAGTTGTTGAATTGTTTTCAGTATCGGTGCACTCTGAGTGTGAGTCACTGAGGTGCAGCACCTCCGACTACCCAGAGTGGCAAAGAGAGGAGCTGGTATATGGCGGCCATGTTGACTGGAGGAAGAAAAACGTTCTCATACTGACATGAAATGCATCACCAGGAGAGCAGCAGAGCTACAGCTCAGATCTACTTAAACAGCAAGGGACACTGATCCTGGCTTGTTGAAAAGACCAGAGCCTGGAGACAGCAGGTCTGGACCTGGAAACAGCAGGTCTGGACCTGGAAACATCAGGTCTGGACCTGGAGACATCAGGCTTGGACCTGGAGACAGCAGGCTTGGACCTGGAGACA